TAAGGTTTCAAAGGGTAAGGAAGCATTGTCAGAATGGGGGAATAGCCTACGGCTGTTCAGGTGTTTGGCCAGTAGGAGGCAATAACGTGTAGATTAAGATGCCCTTTAACTGTCTGGCAGCCACAGTCAGTTTCCTATTCAGGTTTGGGGAAATGCCTTCAGCCATTCCCAACAGGTGACTACATGTGTGACTCAACCCTGTTGAGTCCCCAAGTCTCATCATCCTTTTGATGAAACTTGAAATTACGACGTGCTGGAATTGGGTCCCGGCAGGCACCCTCTTTCTGTCTTCTGGGATTGGCTTGGACCTGGGCGGGTTCCTTCCCTCCGCGCTCATGACGGCCTAGCATATCCCCGCCCGGCACCTGCCCCGCCGGGAGGCGGTCTGCTCTGCTGACAGCGCTCCCCTTGCTGCTTTGAGCTCAGGACATGAATCGCTTCGTGAAACAGACACGGGTGCTCCTGGCTGAGCAGCTCTCGTGAAGCTGTTCGCTGTGCTCATCCTCGTGGGGCTGTTGGATGCCTTTGACGTCGGAGCGGGGATGTGCTTGGTCACTGGGGAGCCTGGATGAGTCTCACGAACACGAGTCCGATTTCCGTGTGATTCTGACAAAACAGAACATCCTCGCTCAGGGACCAGCCTTCTGCTCTCCATCTGTTTGTACATTTGACTGTCAGCCCAGGAGCTGAGAGGACGGCAGGCCAAGCAGCGGCCAGAGGGACATTTAGAGGCCCCAGCAGAGGACACTGGCGCCCCCACACCATTGTGTGTGTTTGGGGGGGGGGCGGGGATACCTGGACTGTGGTGCCAGCAAAGCCTCTTACCCGGCAGTGAGGACCAGGAAACCAGTCCGTTGGCCTCAATGCTGTTCCCTTGCCCGCCTCCCTGCCCTTTTTGTGTGGGCTTGCGGACCTCAGCTGGCTCACCGTGGCCAGTGCCCGGGACAAGCGGAGTGGTGTGTGCCGTGTGCACGTGTCTGGAAAAGATGTGCCTTTGGCAACCAGGGTCGCAGCCTTCTTCCCTCCGTTTTAATCTCGCGAGTCGGCCAGTTTGGGCAGGTGTCCTGTGCTGCTTCTCTGCCTAAATAAAGTAACTGTGAGTGAGTCTCTCATGATTCTTTTTATTTTTTATTTTTTTTAATCCTCACCCGAGGATATTTTTCCATCTAACTTTTAGGGAGAGTGGAAGAGAAAGGGAAAGACAGAGAGAAACATCGATGTGAGAGAAACACATCAATTGGTTGCCTCCTGCACAAGCCCCAACCAGGGCCCGGGCCAGGGAAGGAGCCTGCAACCTAGGTGCGTGCCCTTGACGGGAGTCGAACCCGGAACCTTCGGTCTGCAGTCTGACGTTCCACCCACTGAGCCACACCAGCCAGGGCTCATGATGCTTTTTAAAAGCAGTTTCCATTGGACACAGATTTATTAAATGCATGCACTAACCTATGGAGAGGCCCAAGATTTTTTTCCTGTATTTGATCATGTATTTCCTTATCATTTTAATTATAACTTTGCCATCTTTTAAAAAAAAAGGGGGGTGCCAAAGGGAAATCCCAAATTAATTGAGATTTTATCATCTCCGTGTGATGGGGAGCAGGAGCTGGGGCAGCGGTGGGGAGGGAAGTGGGGGGTGTTGGCGGGAGTGCCATTCAGTGGGCGGGACTGAAGCCTAAGTCCAGCTCTGCTGTGTGACCTTGGGCGGGTCACTGCCCATCACTCCACCTCAGATAATTATCCCCGAAATGGAAGCAATGCTGACCCCACAGGGCCTTTGTTTTCCAAATGAGGCAGTAAACCTGAAATGCATTGTAAATGACGGGGCCTGTGCCAATGGGAGTTGTTACTACTATTGTTCCTGTCCTCAGCCAGACACAGAGGCTGGTGAAGTAACGGGGGGGTGGGGCACTGGCGTTGTCTGTCTTAGGGAGAGCTCTCCGGCTGTGTGGTCGCCCTGCCTGCCACCGGGCGAGCCAGGTGTGAACCGGGCCGAGGGGAAAGGTGAGGGGAGTGGAGGCGGCCGGGGGCGGGAGCACACCATCATTGCTGCTGCTTTCATTCCATGGTTTCCTCAGTTTACCCTTTGCCGGGTGCCTTAGGCTGTAGGGGCTGGATTGGGTGTAGGGTGGGGAGGATGCGGGAGGGAGAGTGAGGGCGTCCTTTCTCTCAGGAGCTCGGGGCAGCGCACAGCACAGCAAGCCCAGCCGGGGTGATGCTAGGAAGGAGGGGTGGACGGGGCGCCTGAGGAAGCCGTCTGCGTTCCCATAGTTCATTCACTCAGCCCGGCCGGGGCGGCGGGCAGGCTGAGGTCAGACAGCCAGGGCACCTGCGGGACCCCATCAGTTCCCAAAGAAGCAGGAGCACGAGACGCCCCACCTGGGCTGGGGAGGAGCAGGTGTGCCAGCTGCTGCAGGGGGAGCCCCGCCCAGGCCAGTGAGGGCCGGACCATCCAGGCCGGCCTGCCCCCCTCCTCCCTGAGGGCCTGGGTGCGCTGCCCTGCCCCCCGGCGGCCTCGCCCACACAGGCTGCCCCGGGCGCCTGGTAAATGGGCCGGGAGGGAGGAGAGGAGGCCGCAGCCTGCGCAGCGCGTCCCCGCCGGGCAGGAGGCTGGAGTGATGAATGGGGCCGGATTCATACCGCGGTGCAAGCCTGCAACCCAGGCATGTGCCTTGACCAGGAATCAAACTGTGACCTCCTGGTTCATAGGGCAGCATGTATCCTCGGGCAGAGGCCCCGAGCCGGTCTTGGGGAGCAGAGCGGAGTGGGGGTGCCAGCCGCCCGCTCCGGCTCCCGCGCAGGCCTCAGTCAGTGTGAATGTTACTGCAAGGTGAGTGCTCCCGGCCGTCCCCCCTGCTCCTCACTCTGTGCCGCTCGGCTCTGTGGCTCAGCACCGCCCTGCACAGCGGCTCCTGCGCGTCCGAGGTCCGAGTGCCGCATCTTCTTCTTGGGGTTCTCTTGCTGCCCCCCATGGCCCCCGCCTCCCCCCCTTCTGCGCTCAGCACCTGCTCAGCGACCTCCTCCACAAGCTCCCTCCTGACCCAGGGTCGTTGGCTGGGTGAGGGGAGGGCAGGCCTGCATCCCGCGCCCTCGCCCAGCAGGGGGCGCCCCGTGGAACCCCACATTCTCTTCCTGGGAAGAGGTCCCAGGCAGGGGAGATGCCCCTGGCTCCGCCTCCCATGGGCATCTGTGGGGGCACCCTCAGACCCCCAGCTGCCCGGGAACCCCCTGGCTCCGTCCTCCCCCGACAGAGGCGGTCCCAGGGGCCAGAGCGTGGCCAGGAGCCTCCCGCTTCCCTGCCTCCCACGGGGTGGTTTGCTCCTTCTGTGGGCGTTTGTGACTCTGCCTTTTCTCTCTGGATGGGGCCGCTGCTCCGTAGGCCAAGCAGAAACCATGGAGCCGGCCGACATGGCGACAGCAAAGGTAGGATGGAAGTGCTGCCGGCCGCACTGTGCGTAAGTGGCTTCGCTGCACCTTCTGTTCGGTTCGCCGCTCGCCCCTCCTCTCCCTCAGCCCCCTCTCCAGAGCTCCGGGCTGGTCAGAGCAAAGGGACCCGATGGGGCGTGAGGAGCGCGGAGGGGAGGAAGGCTGGGTCCCACTCAGCGTCCTGCACCGGGTGACCGGCGGGCGTGGGTCAGCCGCAGCGGGGCCTGGGCAGAGCGCGGCCTGGCTTCCTCTCGAGCTTCGTCCTGTCATTGCTCTTCCCCTCCTGACAGTTGCCCCTCGCCTTTATTTCCCTCTGCTTCCTGTCCTCCCTGCACTCTGGAGCTTCCTGCATCCAGTGGTGCATCTCCACACTTTCTGTTCACCTTCTGTGCGCCCTCCTTTCCCTCGGACTGTGGGAGGAGCCCTGGGTGGGGTCGCTGTGGGCGGGGCAGGTGCTGGCCGTGGGGCTGGCGAGGATCTGTCTGAGTGGTGGATGCTGCTGCCATTCCCTCCCACCGCTCCTTGATGCCCCAATGGAAGTCCGGCCTGGGCGCCTCTTGGGGATGGGACCAGGGTGCTGTGTTGCGAGGACCCCACGGCTGCTGGAGGGCATCCCGAGACAGATTTCTAATCTCGCCTGAATCCTGCTTGCAATGTGCAGTTTGTTTTTCTGTGCATTTTTCCAAACAAGGAGCTTGAGCCGCTGGGAGTGGAGGAGGGATCTAAGGAGCCCTGTGTCAGCCCCAGCCCAGCCCCAGCCCAGCCCCAGGCCCTTGTGCAGGAGCGGCAGGGCGTCCTTCCAGAACACCTCAGCCCTGGCTTTGGGGCCTTCCTCTGGCCGGCGGCTGGGCCTCCTTTACCTCAGAGGGGAGACTGGATGGGGCGCAGACTCCTGGAGCACGTTGGGTGTCCTGTGAGGTGGGCGGCGAGGAAGCAGCCGTGCTGAGGGCAGGGATGTGTCAGTGGTGAGGACACATTGCAGGGATCACAGGACTAGGGTCCTGGCTCCTTCCTCCTGCTCCCACATGCTGTGTGACCCCATCCAAGTTACTTAACCTCTCTGGGCTTTCATCTCCTCTTTGGCACATTGGTGAAAACCACATGCATCTGTTGTTTTAACTCGCTTAGATCTGTCACATTTGCCAAGGAGCTAGGGAGGAAAAAACAAATGAGAACAGGCCCCGCTGGACTCCTCGATTCCCTGACTCACCCTCTCCCTCCTGCCTTGGTCCCTCTCCCCTCGCTTTCCCATCCGTCAGCAAACAGTGGAGTGCCCACTCCGAGAATGGCTGGTGCCAGGTGCTGGGCCCCCTGGCAGGGCGTAGAGGCAGCCACGGGAGCAGACATCGGCACCTGTGTCTGGGTCCGAACAGTTTGCCCCGGGTGCTGCGGCTGCAGTGCCGCCCTCTCTGCGTCGAGTGCCACCCCTCCCCAGGCTCACATCCCCTACACACCTGCCGCCCAGCTGGCACTGACGTTCTAAGTCAGCCGTGGGCAAACTACGGCCCGCAGGCCGGATCCGGCCCGTTCGGCTCTTCTATCCGGCCCGCGGAGCCGAAAGAGCGGAGGGTTCTCTTGCTCTCCCCTCCGCTCCTTCACCAGCAGCAGTGTTAACATGTATTAGTTCACACAAACACTCCATCCATGCTTTTGTTCCGGCCCTCCGGTCCGGTTTGAGAACCCATGGTGGCCCTCGAGTCAAAAAGTTTGCCCACCCCTGTTCTAAGTGGTTTGGGGTCGGCCAGGGCTGTCCAGGGAGCCGTGGCGAGTGCTGGGGAAGAATGGGGGCTGGGAGTCACCCGGTTAGTTCGGACACGCATGTCTGTGCTTGTGTCTGCAGGTGGGGGGGGGGGGCACAGAGGCAGCTGTGTTTTCGTGGCCTTTGCCCCCCTCAGTCTGGATTGCAGGTCCCCTAATCAGGGGTGGACTCCCCCGGGGCGGGCCCATCCCGAGGCGAGCATGCCCTCTCAGGACCTGGGCCATTGAGGGAACCTGATCGGTCAGATCCGACGCCAGTGACCCTCAGCCTGGAATCCTTTTCCTCTGACCTTCTCCGGCCGCAGCCCTGGGCGGGAGCCCGGTCCAGGTGTCTTCCCTGGGCCCCTGGGCCGCGGAGGCGCTGGGGTGGGCGTTAGGGGAAGGTCCGCGAGCAGTCACGTGCCTCGGCGTTTTTCTGGGCAGCGTGCCCTCATGGGGCTCTCACGCGATCCCGTGAGCGATCAAGACGCTCCCCTAAAGAAGCTGTTGGCGCCCTGGCCGGGTGGCTCGGTTGGTTGGGTGTCCCGGGCACCAAGATGTTGCCGGAAGTGCAGGAGGCAGCCTGTCGGTGTTCCACTCTCACATCGATGTTTCCCTGTCTCTCTCTCTCTCCCCTCCTCTCTCTGCACAAATCAAGAAAAATACTTTTTAAAAGAGAACCTGTTTGCGTTTTGCTGGCCAGGGACAGAGAGAACCTATGCGTTACGGCTGATGGGCTGAGTTCACTCTGATAATGTGCAAAGGCAGTGGGACTGCTCAGTAAAAGCCTTATGGCGACTCACGGTAAGTCCTTTGCGTGTGACCTGGACATCACGTTCTTATGTCCAAGTGCATGTAAATGCCCCCTTTCTGCAGCCCCCTCATTCCTGGGGCGCTGTGCCCAGGGTTTCCCGTAACCCCAGGGAGCTGAGTCAGTTGCCCGGGAATGACGCGGCGTTGGCTGGGGTGGCCCTGGAGGAGGCACCACCTGCAGAGGCTGTGCCAGCCCCTGGGCCGGGCTGTGGGGCGCGGCTGCGCCCCGGGACTCGGGGGTCTGAGCTGTCGCACATCTCTGGGCGCAGCGTTTCTTTCTGAGGTTACAGTTCCAGACTCAGTCCGTCTGATTCCTGACGTGACCGTGTTGGATGCGTAGATGATAAACTGGGTCCTGACAGTTTCTGTTTCAGCCTTGAGGAAGGTTAATAGCATTCATGCACCCACTCCTTACCCGTTACAGGGCGTCAGAGGGGTCTTCCAGGGAAGGCTCAGGGTCGCTGTGAGCAGATGCTCGTGGGCTGGGGGAGACCAGTGAGGCAGCAAGCAGCGGTGTCCTGGAAGCCCAGGTCACCAGGGAGCACAGCAGCTCTGACGTCGCCTGGGCGGCCGGAGGGCTTTCCAAAGGAAGTGGTTCCTAGGAGAAAGGAGGCGTGGGTGGGCTATCGGGTGGACAGAGAGGCGGGCGAGCTCGTCCTGATTTGGACACATCTGGGTTCAGACGGTGGCACTGCTGCTTCCCGGTGCTGTGAGCCTGCGTGGGTCCTCTTGGCCTTTCCTCGCCTCAGTCTCCTCATCTGTCAGTGAGGGTGATGCTGTCGACCCTGAAGGACTGCTGTGAGGACGAAAGGAGATAACGTAGGTGTTCCCTGAGCAGGAGGCGGGAGAGGGGACAGCGGGACCTCGCAGAGCCCAGGCCACGACACGTCGCTGGGCAGGCTGTAGCGGTGGGAGGCACGTAAGGACAGGAGGCAGGTGCTGAAACGGAGTTGCAAGCAGGAAGGGACACGCCGGGCACCTCCTGAGGCTGTGCGGAGATGCTAGCATATCCGAAAAAGTGCTTGTCAAAGGAAAAGTGGGAGGGCTGGGGTACTGGTTGGCGTGCTTTTGAAAAAGTACTCCCTGGCTGCAAAGTAGGCAAATTGATAATTTTCTCATCTTGTGCCATCTTTGACACTTTATTTATTTTTTTACATGCCTTGTCTATCTTTCCCCACTAGACTATAAGCTTTTTAAGGACAGGGGTTGTGTGTTTTTAAGTCACAAAACCCATAGCATCTAGCATATTAGTTGGTGTGTAATAGATGCTCAATTAATATTTGGTGAGTAAACACATAGGAGAGGTAGTCATACCTGCAAGCCTAAGGACCAGAACGAAAGGCAGCTAAAAACCGACAGCAGGAAAGCAGCTGGAGTCGTGTTCAGGACACGACTGGAGCTGGAATGGCATGACTCTCTACCCAATCACATTGGCGGCGGAAGAGTGTCTGACCGGGTGACGTGGCCGCTGGCGGTGCTGTCTGTGAGGTGGGCATCGGGGTCGGGGGCAGCGTGGGTGTGCAGGGCAGTGGGGGGTTCCAGGTGTCTGACCGGGTGACGTGGCCGCTGGCGGTGCTGTCTGTGAGGTGGGCATCGGGGTCGGGGGCAGCGTGGGTGTGCAGGGCAGTGGGGGGTTCCAGGTGTCTGACCGGGTGACGTGGCCGCTGGCGGTGCTGTCTGTGAGGTGGGCATCGGGGTCGGGGGCAGCGTGGGTGTGCAGGGCAGTGGGGGGTTCCAGGTGTCTGACCGGGTGACGTGGCCGCTGGCGGTGCTGTCTGTGAGGTGGGCATCAGGGTCGGGGCAGAGGGGATGTGCAGGGCAGTGGGGGTTCCGCGTTCTAGCTTGGAGGCCCTGAGGCTCCAGGGAAGGTGTCCAGGGACGGTGGGAATCGGGGTTTGAGGTAGGGGAGTCTCGGTAACAGTACATGTATGTTTGGGAAGCACAGGTATATTTAAGGCGTCGTTAAAGCATTCAAGGCTCGGTCAGTCATCGTAAGAAGGGCTATCATTGCGCGTGGGGATGGATGTTAACTAGTTGTACTGTGGTGACCATTTTGCAATATACAGTTGACCGGTGAACAGCGTGGGGGTTAGCGAGGCGCACTCAACCCCCACTCCCCCCTGCCCCCCGCACAGCTGACAAGCCTAGTGCTGACTGGAGGGAAGCCTTACCGACAGCATACACAGCCAGTTAACACGTATTTTGTATGTTATATGTTATGTACTGTGTTATATGCTGTAAGAGAAAAAAATTGGTACGGTGGGGCCTTGACTTACGAATGTCCCGACTAACGAGTTTTTCGAGATATGAGCCGTCTCTCAGCCGATTTTTTGCTTTGAGTTGTGAGCTAAAATTCGGGTTACGAGCCAGCTTCAGATACTCCACCGCTAGTTGGCGCAGCGAACGTCACAGTGAACGCCACAACATCAGCCCAGCATCACGTGTCTCACTCGTTCACTTTTTGATTTGACATACGAGTAATCTGAGTTATGAGCTCTGTCAAGGAACGAATTAAACTCGTAAGTCAAGGCCCCACTGTATTAAGAAAATCATAAGGAGGAGAAAATACATTTATGGTAGTGTACCTATTTATTTTTTTAAAATTCATATATAAGTGGATTGTGCAGTTTAAACCCGTATTGTCAAGGGTCAACTGTGTGTGTGTGTGTTCATATTGAATCACCATGCTGTGCACTTAAACTAATATAATGTGATATATATTATATATAACATTGACATCATAAAAAAAATACTAGGTCAGGACCCCTGCAACTGAGGGACCACCTCGTGAGCAGGGCACTGAGCTGCGGGAGCCCAGTTCCGAGACAGGCTCTCCTCACAGTGGAGGGGGAGGTCGCCGGCTGCGGGAGGTCGCCGGCTGTGGGAGGTTGCCGGCTGTGGGAGGTCACAGACTCAGACGCCTGCCTCATAGCAGAGTCTGCACGTGTGTAGATTTTGTAGAGAAATTGGAAAAAGTTGGTGGACTGAAGCAGAATTGCCAGATATTTATTTTATCTATAAAAGATAGCAAAACTTAAACTAAAATATAGAATTATCACCGCCATTATTCATCCTATATAATAAAGAGGTGATATGCAAATCGACCATCACGCCCTCACAAGATGGCTGCCTACGACCTGGCCAGCAGAGGGGTTAGTGAGGGACGACCAAATGACTGGACAGCAGGTTGCATGGGGCGACCAGGTCAGCAGGGGAGCAGTTGGGGGCAACGCGCCTCCCCCGCCTCTGCTGCAGGTGGGCAATAAGGAGGGATCGGGCTTAAGCTGGTAGGGGGACATCCCCTAAGGGGTCCTGGACTGCAAGAGGGTGCAGCCCGGGCTGTGAGACTCTTCACCCTCCCTGCCCCCCGCCCCACCGTGCACAAATTCCGTGCACCAGGCCTCTAGTATTTAAGTAATATTTTAACACAAAATGTAAAAGGACATGTTATTAAAAATTAAAAATTCAGTCCCTAGCTGGTTTGGCTCAGTGGATAGAGTGTTGGCCTGTGGACCAAAGGGTCCTGGGTTTGATTCTGGCCAAGGGCACATGCAAAGTTGCGAGCTCCATCCCCAACTGGGGGCATGCAGGAGGCAGCCAGTCAATGATTCTCTCATCATTGAGGTTTCTATCTCTCCCTCCTTCTCCCTTCCTCTCGGAAGTTAATAAAAATATGTATTTTTAGAAATTCAGTATATTTAGATTTTGAAACGTATCAGGTTGCCCTTATTTTTCTTAACTGTTCACAGATGCAGGTAGGAACTTCATCATGGTGCACACAGCACTTTGCCCCCGAGTCAGCACAGGAGGCTGGTGCCTCCGTACGGAAGGAGTACCTGCTGAGTCTCTCTAGTCGCTGGACACGGTGCCGAGCTCCGGCGTCCTCACGACTAGGCCGGGCTCACGATGCTGGCTGTGATGTTAGGAGAACACAGGAGGCAAAAGGCCCGGGATACTTTTGAGCCTTTTTCCAACCTTACGGCGCTGATGAGAAAAGGCCTGAGGGTGGGCAGGGAACCGTCAGACTCCGCCCAATGGGATGCAGCCTGCTCCATCCACACTCACGCACTATTGGCAGCAACAGAAGCAGCTGATGCTGACACCTGTCTTGCAAATAGGAAGTTCTTGCCTCCATAAAGGATGGTAAATAAATATTGGATCCTATTTCTGGCTAACTCTTTTATGTTAAGACCAGAGTAATCAAAAATAATTTTCACAGACAGACTTGGTATAGGTTAGCTGAGAGTATTCACTATTACCCGTTAGCTCAGTGGTCGGCAAACAGCGGCTCAACAAACCGTGGCTTGCGAGCCACATGTGGCTCTTTGGCCTCTTCCACAAATACCGGCTCTTCCACAAAATACCGACTTCTGCGCATGGGCCACGAAGTTTCAGTCGCACTGTATGTGCGCGCCCGCATGTGGTATTTTGTGGAAGAGCCACACTCAAGGGGCCAACGAGCCACGTGTGGCTCGAGAGCCACGGTTTGCCAACCACAGCATTAGCTGATTGAAAAATTGGCACAATGATTAGGGACCGACGCTCACTTTGGAGAGCAGGCGTACTCAGATGACCCGCGCTCTCTCGCAGAGCCCACGGCCTTAAACTCTTCACGGTATTTACTGTAGCACCTCCCTCCTGCTGTTCTTACCAGACCACAAGCTTCTAGAGACCAGGGAGGACATTGCATTTATTGTTGAAATATCGTGATTTGCTTGGGGCATGAACATATTGGGCCCTCGATAAGGATATATTGTTGGGTAAATAAATAGCTGGTTGCTCTAACGGAAATATTACCAAATGAAATTACAAGAACATCCCCCACAGAATCAGGGACATGAGAACTGTTATTCCAGTGGAGGAGGCGGCGGAGGCGGGGCCCAGGAGCGGAGGCTGCTGCTCTTGCAGCCCAGTGAGGGGTGGGCTGTGGGGACAGTCTCGATGCTGGTTTGTGTGCCAGGCACAGACTCGCCGTTGCGTCACCGTGTTGTGCCATCGGCCCCTGAACACTCTCCGGCTGTTGTCCTTGTCACGTTTCCCCAGTGGAGCTGAGGCTGAG